ACTCAACCTCATAAGTATTTCATACTATAGAAAATCTCAGTATCTGGGGCCAGCAGGTGGTGTGGTGGTTGAAGTGCTGGACTCTCACATGGCCAACTATGATTTGAGTCCTGGGCCTGGTAACTTGCTTTCTCATTCTCTCTCTCTCTTTGTCTCTGTCTGTCTCTTGTGAGCACACATACTCTATAGCAAATTAAGGAATAATAATGATAAATACATGAAATTAAATAAATTATTCTCTTAAACAAAAGAAAATCTCAGTATCAATTCAATATAAACAAAGACTTAAAATGTAGTTACGATAAAACAACAATGGGATTTTTTTTTTTTTGAGAGGGTTTTGCTATAGGGCGCATGCGCTTGCCAGACAGAGAGAGACATAGAGACAGAAAGCAAGAAATCACCCCCCAGGGAGGATGGTCACGCCGCAATCCCTTCTCCTCTGTTCTCCTCTTGGGATCTTGGGCACACACGCATACACACCCGGTGTGAATTTTAAGCCACCGGGTCTGGGACGCTATCCACGGTCGACTACGTGGGAGTCCAGCGACATAGCCATTACGCTAACTGCTGGTTCCCTCATTTTAATTTTTAATTGTGGTAAAATACATATAAAATGTACCATTATAACCATTCTCAAATGTACAGTTCAGTAGTGTTAAGTACATTCGTATTATTTTGCAACCAAGCTCCAGAACTCTTTTCATCCTGCAAATCCGAAACCATGGTTAACTACCCGTTTCTCTCTCCCAGCCCCTAGAAAACACCATTCTATTTTCTGTCTCTATGAATGTGACTACTCTGGGTAGCTCGTCTGATTCAAATCATATAGTATGTGTCTAAGACAGGTTTATTTCATGTAGCTTAATGTTCTTAAGGTTTATCCATGTTGTGGCATGTGTCAGAATTTCATTCGTTTTTAAGGCCAAATAATATTCTACTGTATGGATTCTTGGGTTGCTTCCACCCTTCTTGGGCTATTGTGAATAACACTGCTATGAATATGATTGTACAGATATCTGTACATGTCCCTGATTTCAGTACCCAGAATATGTACTAGAAGTGGAATTGCTAGATCATATGCTAATTCTACACTTAATTCTTTGAGAAACTATTAAACCATTGTCCACTGCAGTTGCACATTTTACACTCATACCAGCAGTACACAGGTGTTCCAGTTTCTCCACATCCTCATCAATACTTGTTACTTTCTGTTTGTTGTTTGTTTATTTATAGTAACCATCTTAAAGGGTGTGAGTTGGAATAGAATTTTTAGAAGACCAAGCCAAGAAAAAGAACTGAGAACAGAAACACAACACAAGAGTAGAACTAGAAAGCATGCACACATGCAAATGGAATAGGCATAACTGAAAATCAGATAAATG